CTCTCCTCTCCTCTCCTCTCCTCTCCTCTCCTCTCCTCTCCCTTCAGCAGACCATAATTTATTACATCTCTCTTGGGAATGTCAGAGCTGGACAAAGTGGGTTCTTTGGACAAATTATTAGATGCGTACATTGGATGGTTGTTTCATCTTTACTATCATGCTGGGGAAAAGAATGGAAAAGGGTGAAATGAAAAACATCACAAATTAGTCTGTGGTTTAGGTATGTGGGGCTTTTTTTCTGTGCAAGGTTAGTGCTGACTTCTGTCACTTCAACAGTGATTCAAGGCATGTCCATACTTTCCTTAGAGCAGACAAGTTTGGTTTTACTATTGAATCTTGTTCACCACCTGCTTTCCCTGCACACAAAGACAGAGGACACAACGTTCCTCCCTGGAGCTTTACTGAGCAGGTGGGAAATGATTATCCCACACTTTCATGCCAGTGTCCCAACAGGTGTTGTCTTTTCCAAGCAAGCCTGTCTAAGTGGATTTCCTTCTGGTCTGGCTGATCTGTTGTGGGGATCTGGGATTCTTGCTCAGGAGCAAATACTCTTCTTCCTTGCCAGGCATGGAGCAGAGGGAAGGGACTGCAGGAAGGAGGAAATCATGCTTCCTTTGCCTCCTGCAGCAGCAGGGCTGCTGCAGAGCAGCAAATAGCCCCACACACAGTGCTCCTGCACAACACTGACTGTAGCTGACATTGCAGGGCTCAGATCAGCAGCAGCCCTACTGTGCTTGCAGAGCACCTCTCCTTTCGCACTCATGCAATCTTCTGTATGGTAGGAGGAACATCTACAGAAAGCAGGGCTCCACCTTCAGGGTGATAAATAAATGGTAAATATTTCCACAAGCAAGGACAAACACTGTGAAAACGTCAGGGACTCTTGGCCACATGCTTCAGAAAAAGGAAATCTCAGGTCTGATAGGAAACTTAGACCAGCCATCAGAGTGGGAGGAGTTCCCTCCCTACACCTGCATCAACTTCTATTGTGTTACACATGGAAGGAGAAAACTGCTCCTGATTTTCTATCAACAGTTTATAAAGAAACCATCATCATCAAAAGTGGAATGAAAAAGAAGGGCAAGGGGTGTGCTTGTTCTTATCTGCTTTAGAACACCTGTAGCCATTTCACTGTCCACCTTTGCCCACCCAACCTTTTCTGATCTCTGAGACTGCCTCTTTCTATCTTTCAGAGCTCCACCGCCACGAAAGCATCCAGGAGAAGAACGTGAAAGAAGCTAAAACCAAGTGCAGAACCATTGCATCCCTGCTGACAGATGCACCCAACCCCCACTCCAAGGGGGTGCTGATGTTTAAGAAACGCAGGCAGAGGGCTAAGAAGTATACATTGGTAAGTTTTGGGAGTGTTGATGAAGACCGCTCCTACGAGGAAGAAGACGGAGTTTTTCCAACTAGTGAATCTGAATTTGATGAGGAAGGTTTCTCTGATGCCCGAAGCCTAACTAATCACTCAGACTGGGACAACACTTACCTAGACATTGAAAAATCCAAATCTGACTCTGAACAGAAGGAGGAGAAGCAAAAAGGTTTGACTGAGGCCTCAGGTAAAGGAGCACGATTATTTGAGCAGCAGAGGGAACGGGCTGGGAAGTACACAGTTGAGAAAACTCCAGTGCAGAAGAGTTCAGAGCTTGCCCCGGCTGCCCAGCCAAAGCAGGGCACAGTGAACGGAGATATGCCTGTGCCAGACAAGGCAGACAACGTGCCCCTCAGCATCCATCTGGAAGGTGTGCAAATGCCCAGCAAGCAGCCAGCCACCATCCCCACTCAGCTCCTGACTGCCCCCAGCCCCACTTTCTTCCCACCTCCCCCAAGCACCCCTGACCCCTTCTCTGCAAGTTCAACAAGCATGTTCAACAGGTCTGCACGGCCCTTTACTCCTGGCTTTTCTGGCCAACGTCCAGCAACATCTTCTGTCATCTTTAGGCCATCTGCACCCAAAAAACCCACTGAAAGTCTGAGTGGGCAAAGCACGGGGGCTCCCCCTTTCTCACCTCTGGTTCCAGGAACACCTGCCAATGCACCAGTGCTAACACAGCGTGGTCCAGTGAGCTCCTCCACATCTCTGTATATTCCTGCACCAGGAAGACCAACATCACCACTGGAGTCACAGCCAAAAGGGGGAGGAAGCACTTCAGAGATCAAGCCTTCTGCCAACACTGCCCGGACATCCACCACCTCTATCTTTCTCTCAAATCCCTCAAAGCCAGGAGGGGATATGGCCTCCACAGCATCCCAGCCACGAGTCCCAGGAACAGCCTCTTCTTCATTGTATATTAGTCCAGCACCATCACAGCACATGAGAAGCAGCTCCCCTCTGCCAAAACAGCCTTCTCCTGCTATCACTCCAACAATGCCACGACCTCCTTCGGATCCCTTAACCTCCAGGGAGCAGAGGATTTCTGTGCCAGCTCCCCGCACAGGCATCCTGCAGGAGGCTCGCCGACGGGGCAACAAGAAGCCCATGTTTAGTAAAATTGAGGAGAAGAAGAAGAATTCACCCAACCCTGAGCTCCTGTCTCTGGTGCAGAACCTGGATGAGAAGCCAAAAGGTGACCACCCTGGGGCAGGCTTTGAGTCGGGGCCTGAGGAGGACTTCCTCAGCCTGGGTGCTGAGGCCTGCAACTTCATGCAGTCCTCAGGCCGCAAGTTCAAGACCCCACCTCCAGTGGCCCCCAAGCCTCAGCAAGATGCTGGATTAGTAAATGGGGCGCAGGACATGCCTCAGCTTAAAGGCAAGGGGGCAGAGCTCTTTGCCAAACGTCAGAGCCGCATGGACAAATTTGTGGTGGAAACAACACCGAAGCAAGAGCACAAGCCCAGGACCCCCTCTCCATCCCCTTCTCTACCCTCATGCTGGAAATACTCACCCAACATCCGGGCTCCCCCTCCAATAGCTTACAACCCAATGCATTCCCCTTTCTATCCCCTGGCAGCTAGCAAATCTCAGGCTAGCAAAGCAGAGAGCAAAGTGAAAAAGGCACCTGGCCAGAAATCAGGGATCAAGGTCATTGATTTAATGCGCCACCAGCCCTATCAATTAAAGTCAGCCATGTTCTGTTTTGGGGATCCCCCAAGCCCCAGCACTCAGAATACTCCTGGTCAGCCAACCCCACAGGCTAGCTCATCCTTCATGGCAGCCAAGCAGGTCCCTGTGAAAATAGCCAAGACCCAGGAGATTCGTCGCTTCTCCACGCCGGCTCCCATGCCAGCCTCCAGCAGCCTGGCACCCACTGTGCTTGTGCCCCGCTCAGCCACCACGCTGGATGAGCCATTGTGGAGAATAGAAATGGCCTCTTCTGCCCCTGCCACACCAGCACCCTTCCAGGTGGAGCTCAGCCCCTCCCCTAAGCCATATCAGAGCTCCCCAGAGCCTGGACAGGTGGGACAGGGACCTCCTCTAAACTCAGCCAATGCCTCTCGGTTTCAGGTGGCCAGGCCCAAATTCTCTGCAGCAAGAACAGGCATGCAGGCCAATGTGTGGAGGCCAAGTTTTGGCCATCACTGAGTCAGGTACCCCTCCCATCCTGTCTGTGGCTCCTCAGAGATAGCGCTTGTTTTGTCTTTCATGTCAGCGCAAGTACGTTGGGATGAGTGATGCAAAATGAAGGAAAAAACCTCAAAAAATTACTGCCCTTTGGCACCACCCCCTTCCCCAGCCTCCCCTTGGTCTCAGATGAGATACTTCCTGGAAAGGCTTACTGGCTGTGGCTACAGCAGGAGGAAGAATGTGGAGAGAGGGCACATGTGTGGTAGAGAGACTGGGAACTTGTACACAGCAGCAAAACCCTCATCCAGAGGGGGTTAACTCACATGGAGACACACATGAAGCAGTAGTTTTCCTTTCCCAAGGGCTTTGGAGTCACCCCTGCATGGAAGCAAACTAGGAGGCAAGAGCTTTCCAGGAAGAGAGGGTGAGAGGTGGGAATACAGAACAGAAGCCCCAGCTTTCCCATTAGATTGTCCTCTGATCCTCCCAGTCTGCACATGTTCCCCTGTGCACACACACATGCACACAGCAATACTCATCAGGGAGTGAAAGGACAAGTGGAGCCTCACCTGGGACACTTCTCCCAGACTTCCCTCTGTGGGGGCATGGAAAAGAGGGCAAAAGAGCAGAGTAAGCAGTGGTGTTTGCCCATGCACATGTGGGCAGTGTGGCCTGTGCCCGAGTGGCCGCATGTGCCTGTTCCTCCAGTCACCAGTGCTGGGGGTAAAAGGCAGAGTCATCCTAGCTGGATGGTCTGGAATTAGTTTGCCAAAGAGGGGCTTTGAGGGGACTTGATGGGGCTATCACCAACTGTGGGAACTACAGAAGGAAGTATCCATTTTAGAGGATACACAAAGTCAAAGCTAAGCTCAGGCAGTGTTTGGTTGGCACCAAGAAAGGCCCTGCAGCATCTGTCCCACAGAACAGGATATGGGTACCGTAAGTAGAAAGGTGGATTGCACGGGAGAAGGTAGAGTTGGCTTTAAAATGAGACAGGACTGAATATGCATTTGTACATGATCTTTTTGCTTTGTTTAGGACAGAAATGTGGCTAGATTAGAAATGGGTCATGACCTAAAACTTGCTGAAAGCTTTGTGATGAGGGGAAAATGGAGGGCCTTTACAAACATTCTCAGTGTGGAAGTGGAGGCCAAAAAACCAGAAAGTCACAAGAAAAATTTCATACTAAATTACTTGGGTATTATTGTGGGGCCTATTTGGTAAAAACTAAAGTGCTCTGAGAATCCCAGAGGATCTGTACTCCTACGCATATACAGAGTTCAGTTTGCTGGTGAAGCTGGGGAAACAACTGGTTATTCATTGAGTGTCCCAGGCTAGCCTCCAACTTAATCCCTACACTACAGGCATACAGGAAAAAAACCCACTGCCTTCCCAAGGAAAAATTCAGCATATTACTAGGGACTGTGCATGTGTGTGTGCATGTCATCTATTCTCTGGTTTATACACCCCCCAGCCATTTACTTTCTGCTTGTGGTCCTCCTTTGCTAGCAGCCACTTTTCCAGTGTGATCCCACAAGTACACCAAGAAAGCATTGCTCCTGAAACACTGCTTCCAAACACAGCAGATGCCCCAGCTGCAGGGAAGGGGTTTGCCACCTCTTTCTGGGTCAGGGTTGCCCAGCCTTTTGCTAAACCCTTAGGAATGCGTACAGGAGGCAGAATGAGGTTCTCATAGCCCTTTCTCCTTGGGACAAGTCTCCCTTCCATTAGACTTGCTCCTCTCTTTCAAGCAGTAGCCATTCTCTGACTGGACTGAGCAGAAAGTTTGGATATATAAAAATGTAGGTTTTTGGGGAAAAAAAAAAGAAATGCAAGTGGTTCTGAAGCAGTCTGTAGGCAGTGCAGCTATTGTTATTTCATACTAAATCTAAACCAACCTTCCTCTCCACAGCAGGCGCTTATGATGTATAGCTTTTTCATAACTGGTGCTCTACTTTTTCTTGGAGGCTTGAAAGTCTTTCTTTGTGAGCACCTGGAGATTTTTCACGTATGTTATCCTATGAAGAAAAAGAAGGCTGTAAAACTTAGCTAGACAACTTTGGGAGGGCGATAATGAGAGAAAAGGAGAATACACAATTCTGCCTTTGAATCCTTCACAGTCTGGCTGGACTTTTTTGCAAGCCCATATTTGCAGTACACATTCCTTCTGGCCCTGAAACATATAATGAGCATGCTGGGGAGAGAAGATAACAGAACTTACACCTCACTTGGCACACTATCAACCATGGGAGAGGATTGTGAGAAAAGCTACGGGAATATCTTGAGTTAATGGACAAAGGTGAGGCTGAGTCAGAAGAGATTCTGCATCTGGATGTATGACATAGGAGCAGCCAACATGAATTGATGAGGAGATTATGTCCCTGAAAAGCCCCAGAGAGAATGTCTTAGGAGAAATCATCACCGCAGAGTTAATTCAGATCACCAGAATCCACTTAGCTCCAGTGAAGGGAAGCAGCCATGCTACAAAACCTATCTCAGATGATTGCTTTCTCACTCATCCTGTACTGCATTGCATTGCCAGTGTTTCTGGAAAAAAAAAAAAAAAAAACAAGAAAAAAAAGAAAAAAAAAACAAACCTGTGTGCAAACTGAAGTTCTGTGACTCTTCCCAAACATGGAGGAAGGAATCTTCTATTTTATCTAGGAAAGCTGTACGAAGGAACTCAAGAAGTAGCAGTTCTCCAAAAGCTTTGTCTCTCATCTCCTTGTGGAGTGTTGTCTATCCCTGGCTAGTGATTTAAGCCATTAGCCTTAGACAGACAAGCTAGCCCAGGCTGAAAGCATTACTGAACTCAGGTGTAGAGAGGGGTTGTGTGGACCAGAGGAAGGGTGCTCTACATAATTCTGCAGTCAAGAAATAACCTCAGAAAGTCTGAATCTTACTCCAGTATCCCTTTCCCTCAGGCCCCTAAAGTTAAGTGCTCTCAGGGCCTGAAAGTCTCAGGGAATTCATTTTGCCACTGGAAAAATAGAGAAGTCTGGCCTTAGTATGTAAGGTAGATTGCATGGGTTTAGTATTTTGGTGATCCCACTCCAGATTTCCAGGAGACAATGATTTCTGCTGAGGAGTGATTGCCAAACACCATTCAATGTTAGATATCATGATTGAAGTGAGTGGAATAATTGCATTTTCCCCATCATTTTGGATAATGTAATGGCAGGAAATGGAAAAAGCTGGGTTTGATTGGAGAACAAATATTAAATATAGGAGCAAGGAAAATAACTAGGAGGCTGTGAATCCTGCATTTTACTTACACCCTTGCTTCAATGCCATGTTTAGAGGCAAAACTGAAGTAGTTTAATGGATTTCAGCCCCTCACAAACTTTTCTGCATTCTATGCTGACACAGGATTTGATCTGCAGAAGCAGAGGCTGCTGCTGATGAGGCCTGCAGTGCTCATAGTGTATCCCAAGTAAGGCCTGTAGCTGCAAGTAGCATGAGATGAGAAATAATACTGAGATGCATCTGTCAAGTTGTAAGGAAGAAATCTGAACTACTGCTGGCTTTAAGCAGCTCTGCTGATGTCTGCTCATGAAAATGCTGTGGCTGGCCTGTTAGAAAGGTCACAGGTGAGGTTACAAGGAATACTTTTGGAACATGTAAGCTTGTCTTGAGCCTCTCCATGTCTAATTCCTCAGCTGTTGAACAAGCACAGACATAAACAGTTGTTTGACAAGTTTTAGCTCCCACCTGCTAAGTTATAAGCTGCAGTGGTAGGCCAAACCCCATTGTTCCCTTGTTAAGTATTTGAAGATGTCTTCATGGGCTCTGATTTAAAATTGCCTATCATCCCTCCTCTCTAGCATGCTGCAGGCTACACATTGCAGCTATGGCAATTCAGGGGTTTTATCTTTGCTTCAGAAGTAACAGTCCCTTCCCTCTCAATATATGGGAACACTTACCAGAGATAACCTCAAGATCCTGCAGCACCTGAGAGGAAACATCTCAGAAGAGACTGATGTGAAGAGGAGTCACTGATACCAGACATGAGCACAGTGTGAGGCAAGATTGCTCCTCATAAAGAATATACCTTTCTGCTAAAATTGCACCCCCTACTAGACCCTTTTCCTAGAAGAGACCCATCAGTGCTCTGAAAATGGGAGCCCAGCAGCAGTGCTCTGTCTGGTGAAAGATGTGACCCCAGATGAACAGAGTTGGCATCTTTGTTTATGGAAATACCTTTTTTCCTTTTCTGTTTTGTCTTTTTATTTTTCCCAATTTAAAATCACTTTCTATTTGTTTGTGCAGAAAAATAAACTTGTGATATGCACTTTAAATGTGTCATTTTTTCACTTTCTTTGCTTAACACCCAGGAGGAATTTCTAACTACATGCATTTAGCACTACCTACTACAAACTGCTAAGGACAAGAGAATATAAGGAGTTCAAAAAAGGTTGGGATATCTCAGCAATAAAAACACCTAGGTTGGACTTAAAGTCTCTATGCATTAAAAAAGCGCCATGCAAGCAAAAACTTAAGTGAGATCCAAAACTTTGGTACTACAGACTATAAAACACTCACTGACAGGCTGAAGACATTTGTGGACCAGCCTGAGCTGGCCTGCCCCATCACTGCCCCTCAGCCTATTCTAACCTAAACCCTACCCTCTTCTTGTAAATCCAGTATCCATGAAAGTTGGTAAGCTCAGATAAAAAAAAAAGTAAACTCACATTGAACAATTCAATTTAATACTAACCAAGATACCTAAAAAACAAGTCACTTAGAAAATCAAATATATCCCATTATATTCTCAGGCTCCAAATCAAATCCTAACTCTAAACTTAACGTAATTCATATTAAAGTCTACTCAGTTTCTGGATCCTGAGAGGTTCATTGTGTACAATTTAGGACAAGTGTTAGCAGGTTGCCTTTCCCAGACATATCTCACTCACAGATAGCAATTCCTAAGCACTGTAAAAGACACTGAGATCAGCTGTAGGGTTAGACTGCAGGCTAAGGACATTTGTTTAAGTATAATTTTGCGGATGTTTGTCAGATTAATAACAAGGAGGGCTTCCTTTTGCAGTGGTCCGGAGGTAGGTTTAGGACTATCCAGCATATTTCTGATTGACTTGCCATCAGAAAATACAGAAAGGGGCAGCAATGTTTGCTGATGCCTAACCTAAGCTTCTTTCCGACCAGAAGCACGGCTCCCAAAAAAGTAAGTATACAGATGCACAGGCTGCAGATTAGGACTGCATCTTGTTTTGCCTAATAAATCTGACATAGTAGGATTATAAGCTACTCCAGATGGTTTGACACATTGCAGGACAGTTGCTGTATCTAGGACTCTTAATTAAATTCCCTGTTAACCTCTACAACCTTCTCAAGTGAGAGTCATTTCCTCTCAGAGAACATCATGTCTGAAGGAGCCAGACAAACAGACTTTGAAAAGTGGAACAGGAGCCTGCCAAGCCAAAGGATTTCTAAACAGCTATATAGCAGGCTAGCGATTAACTTGGCCTTCAGTACCCACCTTAGAGAGAAGTTTAAAACCATAAAACAGTAAGGTGCCTAGTGGAGACATCTACCCCCAAGCAATCATACCCGATGGAAGGAGAATGTGCAGCTAAGAGCACAGCAGGGAAGTGTGCGGCATGCAGGAAAGACAAGGCTGTTCCCCGACAGTACAGACCTATAGCTTCAATGGCCACTAGATGTTGCCACTGTTCTCCTCTGAGTTACCTGGGGCTTTGGCATTCGCCTGATGTGGTGTTAAGTCTAGAGGGTTTAAAATCTAAGGAAGTCCTTTCTTCCTAATCTATCCTCTTTTGACGTTCACATATGGTGTTGCTCAGTCCCACATACCAGAGGAGAAGGTCAGGCTCATACCAGGGAGTTTTGGCAGCAGGGGGCTTGCTGCAGCTTGGAGGGGATTCCTGGGTCACGCAAACAGGCTGCCCAGCAAGTAACACACCATGGGAATGGCAGCAATTTCCACACACACTCCAGCTCTGTGGTCAAATCCTACATATTTTGCAGTCCTACATCTTATTGTGCATTAAGCCCACTTAGCGGCACCAGAGAGCCTGGCATTTACTGTTTCTCCTATTTTGGTGTTATGAAGTACTGAAAAGTCTCCCTCATGCCTGTGTAAACTGACGTGAAAGAAGAATATTCATGAAGAATACATTAAATACTTTACAATAACAATAATTATATTCATCATCACCTGAACAATAACCAGAAAAAAGGGCCAAATCAAGAGTTTTGCAATTTTTTTCCAGAACAGATTGAATCATGTTGGAATATGCTGTTTATGAATACTTGGAACATAGATCAGTCCTGGGTAACAGGGAAAAAGGAGAGCAAGAGCAAGGTTTAATTCTCAATATTTGAAAAGTTATAGTGGTGAAGATTGATGCTGTTTTCCTGACTTCTGCATGACCAAAATGTGCTCTGGAGACAGTTCTGCTGCTGTTGCATCTTTGAAATGCTGCTTGTGTCCATCTAGCAGCGTAATAAGGCAGATTTTGTGTCCTAATCTTGAAATGAGTTTGTAGGCATTGACAACCTGAAGTTAGACCATTTGAAATTAGGTGTACAAGAATGCAGTGCAAAAATAAATTAATTTTGAAGAAACGTGTCAGAGAAAGGAAAACTTTGTTTAGGCTGTTCTCAGGCCACTATAACGAAAGTTGTATTTGGAAAGAGGGAGGTGGTCACAGTGACGGAAAGACAGTTTCTTGTATGATTATGAACTCTCTGAAGCGCTGAAAAGTCCTACAGGCAGCACATGTACAACCCTACTGTCATTAATGGAAATTCCATGTACTTAAGCAAGGATTGACTTATGCCACCAAACCACACCACAGTCCAGGTAAATGCTTCCACCATAAACAAAACTAAACCACCTCAAGCACAGCTTGTAGCGATTCAAAACCATTAGCATTGACTAGTATGAGTGGGTAGGATAACAGAAAAATCACTGATATCTTCTTCTCAATTCAATGCATTATTTATGGTAGGGGTAGAAGATAGGTAGAATATTACCAGTGCAAAAAAGCCATTGACCTGCTGAACCTGGCACTGTGGCAGGACACAAGTGAAGTCTCTGCTAGATCTACAATTGACATTTATAGACTTGTGAACTAGACATTCCTATGTCACAGGAGAAACCATGTATAGAAAGGAGCAGGATTTAGTTCTCAGTGTGGTAACTAAAAATAAAGACATATAATTTCATTTAAACATAGTGTAGGAGGTAAGAGACTCAGTTTAAGGTGTGTCTTGGTGCTTAAGTGTCAGACACAAGAGTGCTTTATACAAATCACTCTATAAATCCTAGTGCCACACAAATAGGTTCAAGACTCAGGCTCTGTTGAGTTCATTCCAGATGCACTCCTAGGTCCCATATCTCACCTGGTATATATATTCTTCTCACATAAGACTTTGACTAGGCAAACAAATGCTTTGTTGCCATCAGACCATGGTTCCCATCACTTCTTAAATATGGGCTTCAGCATCCTTGTTCTTGACCCTTGCCCTTTGGGCTGGGGATCCACAGCAGAATCTTGTCTCCTGGAGCTGGCTCGCCCTGAAGTGTCAGTGCTTTGTTCCTGGTCCTAATTGCAGGGCATGCCTGCTCATAGTCTGATTGAGATCCTCACACACCATGCTAGACATGCCTTCTCTTCATCTTGCTATTGCTTTTCCCTAGTCTCTCTTGAGTTTTATAAGAGGGAGCACACCTGTTTCCTGCTCACTTCCAATTACCATGGGGATCTCTGCTCCCTTCCAGCATGCTCAGCTTCTCTGTCTCTGCAGCTGCCTGGGGTGGGAGAAAGCAGAGGCACACCAGGTGTGACAGGGAAGAGCAACCACATCAGGGAAGAGCAATCATCTTTTGGAGCTACACCTTGCCCCAAAATCCATCAGGTTCCCACATGATATACAGGTGGCATGAACTGTTCCCCTAAGGTGTAATTTGTACTCAGGAAGGCACATGAGATGACTGAAGACGTAAAACAACAGCTATAAAGTGGTCTGAAAACAGCTGCTGGAAGCAAGTAGAGAGGAGGCAGAGTTTAGCATCAGTCTAGTTACTGCAAAAGGTGCCATATAATGGTAGCTGCATTTCTCAGCTTCTCACCTGATGATATAAATCACATTAATTTCTCAGATGATTATCAAAACGGAGCTAGAAACTTCTTTAATTTAGATGTAACTCTACCTCATGCCTTTGGGAAAGGAAAGGCAAAGGGCTCTGATTTCAAGCAATAAAGCAGCACATTGTGTTTGTTCTTACTCTGGCCCTCCATATGCCACCACCTTGTGTCAGGCAGAATCTCCCATGATGAATGATGAACGAGTGTTTAGAGCAAAGGGAATTTGAATAGGAGAGCAGCATCTCAGGGAGCACAACTGGATGTCACAGCAGACATTGGGCACTCTGGTCAAGCACACTGCTAAACCAGTCCAGAAGAATTAATGTGGTGAGAAGAATACTCCTTGTACAATCTGCAGTGAACAGGGCTTGGCAACACCAAGACACCCGCTCCTCTGTGGCCACCTGCACTTGTGCAGAGTGGGTGTGATGTATGGACAGATGGTCAGCTGTGACAGTAGCATTTGACACCTTCCAGCTTTGTGCAGATGTAAATGCCTTCACTAGGCATGAAGCTCTGTGATGGTGCCCCGAGCAGGCAGTGGGTGTTTACAACTTAATTGTGCTTATTTTACACTGGAACTGCTCCAGGGATTTGCTCCTGAATCACTGGCATAGTAGTGTGAGGACAGGATCTGGGCTGGACATCACTCTGGTGTACCATCCCAGCTCAGTGAAGGATGCAGGGCTCTTGTGGGTAGTGGAAAGCATATGTCATGCTGTTACACAAATGAGGGAGAATCAGAGCTGTGAAATAGGCACAGTGCAAGGTATACATTGTGGTTACATGGATGAAAGCAAGAGGAAAATAGAAAACTTTAGGCCAGGAGAATGTCGTATGTGCTCTAACTCCAAGCAGGATATAAGGACTGTTTAATGCCCATAGGAATGTTACAGCAGTCTTCTACAGGACCTTCCTAACAGTACTGGAGATTAACACGTAGTGCTTTCAACCCAGTTATCACACTGCAAAGTTTTATATGCATTTGGTGCAGGGAAAAACAACAGCAAAGTCTAGGGAAAAAGGAAAGTGGCTATCTCCTGATGTTCCTTCATTTCAACTTTGCTTGCAATTCTCTGTGCAGATGATTTTCTACTATCATCACAACTGTGTTTTGGGGTTTTTCCTCTTC